ATGGCACTACCTTGTTTATTGAAACTTAAGAGGACCTAAAGTGTTTGCTTCAGAAGGTGAAAGACTACAGTCTTCAATATGGATTGAAGCTCAACATCAAGAAAATCAACATTCTTATCACTGGGCCAATTGGCAGCACCATGATAGTTGGAGAAAAGATTGAAATTGTTAACAATTTCAACTGGTTCAATTCCACAATCAACACTCTTGGCACCCGAAGTCAGGAAGTTAAAAGACAAATTGCATTATCCTAATCTACAGTCAAAGATGTCTCTAGAATACTAAAGAGTAACTATGTCTGTCTAGAGACAAAGATTCACCTGATTAAGGCTATGGTGCAATTACATGCTACGCATCAGAGACCTGAACAATGACCAAACATGATAGAAGGAGAATCAATGACTTTGAACTGTGGTGCTGAAGAAGAGTATTGAACATACCATAGACTGCCAAGAGAAAAACAAGTCTTCATGGAGGGGTGAAGTTGCTTCTTGGAGGCAAGAATTTTGAAGCTTCATCTCACATACTGTGGATATATTGTCAGGAGGGACAAGCTCTTGGAGAAAGACATCTTGTGTGGAAGGATAAGGGACAGCACAGGAGAAGATGAGCCTGGAGAAGATGGATTGGCACAGTAACTGGGGTATGAGAGTAGTTGTGTCAGAGACAGTGAAGTTGACTCAGGATAGGGCAGAGTTGGGAGCTATTGTCCACAGGGTTGCTATGAGTCACAGGCAAATACACGGCATGTAATACCAGTAACAATGTATTTCTTGATATAGTTCTCATTTATTAAGACCAAAATCACCACAAGTGAGGTAATTCCTACAAAAAATTATTCTCTGAAAGTATTTAAGGAATAAAATGGCACAATTCTTATTAAGGTTAAAATAAAATCCCACTAATCTTCAAAATTATAAAGAGAGGTGCCTTTGTGACTAAAGAACTGAGAAGTGGTCTACTCAATTCTTTTAATTGTGCAAAGTCAAAATTATTTTATTCAGATCCAATGTACAAACATGGGTTCATTTTATGCTGAATAGTGTTGCGGAGTCTGTGATATTAGACCATGTTGGATTATCTTATTTCATCTCCACACTTCTCTATTTCATGTCTAGAGGCTTCTCTTCTATTTTTCCCATGAAAACATGGGAAATAATAAAACTTAAGTAATTCTCTCCCTATTTTTATTCTGCATTATTACTTTACTAGGTTTTCCCCCCCCCTTTTATTATGAGACAGAGATGCAACACCATACACAGGTAAATTTGTTCATATTAGCCATTGACTTACCTGACTTCTTTTTCACCCTGATTTCCCACATTACTTGTAGTTAATAATATATTAAGTATTAATATATTTTATATTTTTATTCGTTTGTCTTTATCCTAACTCTTTAATGAGACTTCTACGCTTGTAGGGATATTTGTCTGATACATGCATTGATGTATCAATAGCACTTAGTTAGTACAGAGTTCCAAAACTTTTCCAACAGGGTAAAAAGGGAAGCCACAAACTGGGAAAAAGTATTTGGTAATGACATGTCAGATAACGGACTTATA